AAAAAATAAACCAATCAGTTTTCAAGAAGCGCATGACACAAAGACAAATATGGCAGAAATTACTATCTGGTGTTATGAAATCGTGGATATGGTGTGTAGAATATGCATATCTATAACATATATTATCTTGTGTGTCACTTTTGCAATAATTGGGCCTCAATTGGTTCTTTTCGATGATAAGTAAGACCCGCTCACTCTATAGTTATATTATACACACACCACGCATGTTGCTTTTTTTGTTACTAGAAAAGTAAAATCACTTTTTAATTGAATTATTTCTTTTTAATTGTTCGTTCTCATTTACAATAACACCCGTCTTTAATTAAAAGTAGCTAACTGGATGCTTACAATATACCCGTCTTTAATTAAAAGTAGCTCATAGTAGTAGTAGTATCCTGGTGTTTAACGTCTGCTTCCACATAAGTGATATCGCAGACAAGAAATAGGAGAGCCGAAGCTGCTTCCTGTTTTTAGAATATGATTTTGCAATCTTTTCATTTTCGGCCTTAGGCCATGGATTGGGTTTTGTGGGAAGTTCTTCCCTTTATTTAGTAAAAAACATATCGTTTGGTAGATGTTTTCTTCTGCTTCTGGATTGGTAGATGTCTTCGTTGTGGGATTAGTGTTTAGGTGTCAGGCTCGTCTTATCGTGACCTCCCCTTACTCCACAATCTCACTCTATGGGTTTGGTATCTGTTTCTTTTGCGGTGTTTAGGTCCCGAGTCCGTCTGACCGTAACTCCCCTTACTCCACTATCCTGCCAGTTTGGTAGATGTCATCTTTGTGGGATTTGTGTTTAGGTGCCAGGCCCGTCTTATCGTGACATCCCCTTACTCCCCTATCCCAGTTCTTAGTGTTGAATGGTATGTTGTTAATCTCCATCATTCTCACTAGTTCCCTTCTCTCCTCCTTGTATACCTCGCAGTCTACCAGGACATGGTTGGTGGTACATTCTTCTCCGCACTCACAGACGATGACTTGGTATTTGTAGTCTCGCAGCCGCTCTTTCACCCTTAGTTTCGATATAAGTCTGCATATATCTCTTCTAGGGTGATTGGTCGCTGTCTTCGTGTAGATTTTGTCATCCAGTCGGAATCTGTATGTGTCAAGTTCAACGAGTTTTAATTCCCAGAATGAATTGACCTGTCTTTTAACCATACTATAGATTTCCGTGGTGCTGTAGTCTATGGTGCGGAGTGGTGCTGTGTCCTTGAGACCTTCGTTGGCGAGTCGATCTGCCTCCTCATTTCCTCTAATGTTGACATGTGATGGAATCCACACGAGCTCAAGTTTGCTTCCCTTCTCTAGGACCCTCTGGTACAGCTGCTGATTTCCAAAAAGACTTCTGGTCTTGAGTCCGAGTTGTCATTTTGGATTGAAATCAGACTGCTCAGAGAGTCGCTTGGAATGATGAACTTACTAGTCTTTTGATGGGAGATCCATGATGGCCACTAGCTCTGCAGTGTACACCGAACAGTTATTGGGCAGTTTCCTGCTTATTCCCCGTTCCCCGTTTGGCAGATATATTCCAAACGAGCGTGTGCCCCTTTCAGGGTTGCGTGAGCCATCCGTGTACACATGGTCCCAGTCATCAGACGGCCAGTTGTCTTCCAGGTGTTCTAGAGAGAAAGCACGTGCAGCAGTGGGGTTGTTTTTCTTGTCGGTTTTCTGTAGTAGATCTAGATTGACCGTCTGTATAGGGAGCGTCCAAGGGGTGATTGCTGGGGGTCGTGTTCATTTATCACGAGCTCCCCCAGTCGCTGTTCCTTGATTGTTTCCCTGATACCCTGGCCGAGGCTTTTCTTTCTAGGATCCTCACATATTTTGTCTTTTGTAGACTGACAAAAGTAGGGGATCTTTCGCCCAGTTGCAAGATCTTGGCCCAATACCTTGTCGCTAGTTCTTACGGATAGGGGCAACTCCCCGGCTTTCTGTAGTAATGCCTCTCTCCTAGTCCCAAGCCCTACGCCAGTCGCAATACACAGAGCTTTGTATTGGATGGTGTCAAGCTTACTTAAGAGTTTTGGCGCGCAGTTCATGAAGGCCAAAGAGCCTTAGTCTAATACAGAGCGTATTAGAGCACGATACACCATCATGACTTGGTGCTATTTGTATAGTAAGTGCAGGGGGACTGCACCACACATAATTTACATAAAAACAATGTGAGGCTGAGTGCGATATGCTGCTCGCGTTCTACGTGTGTGAATTTTTGGATTTTTATGTTATTTATATACAATTTTAACGTGCCATTTTTTTCATGGACTTTTTAGGACTACTGTGGACACATTGTAGGTGGTCATTTTTAAACTTTTTGTGTGGATTTTGCGAATTTTTGCAAGATTTGTGTGTCTATGGATTTTTAATAGTGATCATTCAGGTGTGGCATTGACTTTCACCAACAATGTCCGGATTAGTAACATTCAGTGATTACTTATCAGTAGCTGATTAAAATTAATTCAGCTATTAAGGTTTAAGTATCCGAAAACCAAAAACGGTTTTCAAATTATTAATTACAACCTTAATCCGGTTGATTGACTGGTGACGTCACAGGCACTACACATACTATATACATTATCTATACAATAGATCACTGTCTGTACAATATATCACTATCTATACACACCACCAGTTGACAAGTGTGTATTTGTCAGTCTAATTAACATGTGACTGGCCTAATCATAATCACCGAATTATCGTCTTGCGTTGTTATAGATTAGATATTTGTGATTAAGAGTGTTTTCGATAATTGGCATAGTCGTTTTTACGGGAGGTCTCCTTTTGCGACTTTGAGTGAAGATAGCCGAATTAATTTTGATCAGATTGGTGTAAACTTGTCGTAAAGTGGATATAGTAACCAGTGGCTACACGTACCGAAAAGTAATGTTGTCCATCTTATGTGCCCTTTAAGTAACATTTTCGACTAAAATAAATTAAGCTTTGTAAAAAATGCTACGGTACGACTAGTTAAACACACGAGACGGACGGGGCTGTTCTGCAGGGAAAAGGCGTCAAAGCCTTCACATCAAATCCTTGTCCATACAACAACTAGAATCGTCTGTCAACCAAATGACCGTCTTGTCAATCACAACAGTCTTCGTCTACCAAAGATTAATAATGATGCTAATTAAAAAATTCCATGTCTCTCTCCTGAACGCGCTATCGGTTAACAAACAAAGCAACTGAAATAAATGACTTAATTTGTGAATCAAAAGTTGGTTTAAACAATATTTTATTTCTATTATATTTATCATGATTATTTACAATACTGATATTGTGGATCTGAAAACAAGCCATAGCTTATATAAACTCATCTCAAAAGTTGATGCTCTTGCTATTACCGAAACTTGGCTCGGTACTGACAGTGACAATTATACTATATCTGCTCATGTTCCGAAAGGATATCATAATAGACCATAAACCGATATTATTAGGGGGTGGCCGCGTATCTCTAATTTACAAAGGTAATATTTAAGATACATTATGTGAGATTCAGATAAAGAGCTAGCCATTCTTGTTATAATAGTTCGAAAATAGATAATGTAAAATGAATAATTTGAAAATTTCATTCAAGTTACTTTATAGCCAGCGAAGACATTAGCTTTGAAGATTTGACAAGACGTATACAATAATTTCAATCACCGTATTGGTTGTTCGAAAGTAGGTCTCGCTCCTCCATTTTTAGCTTAAATCAAAATATGGCTGAACTGTTCTAATCTATTAAATATCGGAGAAAACCGATGCCACCGAGAGTTGATTATGGTTTGGATAAGTTAATTAATGTCTAATTAATAATTTATAAAACATTTCAGGCCTAAAGAAAGACCTGGAATAGGCAGATTTAGCACCTGCATAATGTATGTTTAAAGTCTCCATCCAGAAAAACTTGAAACTTTCTTCATTGGGATATAGTGACAGTATTTTATCTGTCAACTGGAGTAAATTCAGGTTAATAACAATATACAGACCCCCAGAAAAGCAGCATGAACAATTATTTCTTGAAGACTTTAGTCTACTCCTGGATTCGATATCACAATCTAGTCTTCAGCTACTTATAACTGGTGAATATAAGTCTCTTTACGATGATACTAACAATACTTTTGGGTCTAATTTCAAAGACGTTATTGACAGATATTCTCTTAAACAACCCATCTCTTCTCCGACTCACAAACACGGTCACATTTTGGACTTGATTCTGAAGATAAAATCTGAACTGGAAATTGTAAATTATTCAAGTCACGAATAAGTTTTTATCCGACCATATTTTAATTGATTTTTACATTAACATTGAAAGCTCGGACTTTGAAAATAAGTAATATTCCATTCGCAATTTTAGATCTATTGATATAGAACAGTTTATCAGTGAGGTAAAATCATCAAATTTCATGGAAGCCATAGCTATCAAAAACATCTAAGACACATTAGTAGAATTAAGTCAACACTCAATATTGATGCCATTAAAACTGTCGTAAACTCCCTAGTAACATCAAGATTATAGATAATTGCAACTCCCTTTTAGCAGGAATCCCAGATGTTTTAATTAATAAACTACCAATAGTACAAAATAGTGCAACAATTGGTGATAGGACTTTTAGTATACGGGCGCCAATTGCTTGGACTAAGTTTCTATTTTTCTATCAGAAACGCTGTGTCTCTTGTTGTTTTTAAAAAAACATCTGTCAAAACATTTTTATTTAAAGAAGCCTTTAGCTTATAACGATTTTAGGGGGGTTGGATGGCTGAATGGTTAGCACGTGCGCGCTGTATCATAAAGTATGTCATTGAGTCAACTGGCGTGGTTTCATAACGCACTGCATGACGTATGCGTTGTCTTCATTATCTCAGTTTGCGAATAAACGTTAGACGTTACATCTCATTTCAATTCACAGGTGGGCGAGCTTAGCCTACTAACTTTTCATAGAAAAGAAACAGAATCAAAATAATATACTTTATATCAATTTATAACACATGACATATAGAAATTACTAATGTATTGAGCAAGACTTTAAAACAGCAATACCATAAAACAAATATACATAATAACAACAATATCATAACAAATATACGTAGATAAAAACAATATATAATAGCATAATACAAATATACATAGATAATAACAATGTCATAACGCATGCTTTGATCAAGACTTTATAACGGCAATACTTGTAAAAGACTAAATTTATATTTGAACACTAGTTGGGATCGACTGTGCTTGAATTGTTATTTGATTTATTGCTTCTTAAGCCATTCGATAATATAGTTTGAATATTCTATTGCTAACGTAGAAAGATTTCACCAAATTTGCTATATATGATAAATATTTATATATATTACGTTAATAATGAACAAAATATGAAATGTATTTGAAAGCTAAGGTGGCCTTTTAGTGGTATGCGTTGATTTATACCTTTTTCTTGTAATTTACCCCATATCAGAAATCTCAGTGAAAACTATGATAAATCAAAAAAACATGAAAACCCCTTTCTCGGCGGTGTAAACCTTTTCTCAACCTTTTCTAAGTGGAGGAAACCTTCTCTCAGTGGAGGAAACCTTTTCTCAGTGGAGGAAACCTTTTCTCCGGGATGTAAACCTTTTCTCCGCGGTATAAAGTTTTCTCTGTGGTGTTAACATGTTCTTCGCAGTGTAAATCTTTTCTCCGCGCTGGAAACCCTTTCTGCGCGCTGGAAACCTTTTCTCCGCGGTAGAAACCCTTTCTGTGCTGTGGAAGCTCTTTCTCCGCAACACATCATGTGATTCACGACCGCGAAGAGAGAGAGAGATGGGGGGGGGGGGAATGCGGTTTAACGTCCACTCAACACAAACTAGGCCATGTCGGGACTAACATGTTTCAATTTTATTCTAGTAATTCGCTTGCGCGTGGGGGTCTTTAGCTGTAGGGGGAAACCGGCGGACCCGGAGAAAACTCACGATGCTGGACAGACGACCCTTCTCCTTGTCACGTATAACAGGGGAATCTAAACCACTCCAGTTGACTCAATGACAGACCTTATGATACAGCGCGCACGCGCTAACCATTCCGCCGTCGATCCCTCCCCAACAGTGGAGAAAAGGTTTAAACCGCGGAGAAAACGTTCAAACCACGGAGAAAACGTTTACATCCCGGAGAAAACGCTTAAACCGCGGAGAATACGTTTCCAGTGCGGAGAAAACGTTTACACAGCGGGGAGAAAAGGTATATACCGTGGGGAAAAGGTTTACACCGTGGAGAAAAGATTTACACCGCGGAAAAAAGGTCTACACTTATACCGCGGAGAAAAGGTTTACACCGCGGACAAAAGGTTCATACCGCGGACAAAAGATTCATACCGCGGAAAAATGTTTACACAGCGGAGAAAAGGTTTACGGCGGAGAAAAGGTTAAAGCCGTGGACAAAACTTCATACCGCGGAGAAAATGTCTACACCGTGGAGAAATGTTCTACACTGCGGAAAAAAAGGTTTATACTGCAGAGAAAAGGTTCACACGGCGGAGAAAAGGTTTACACTGCTGAGAAAACTTTATACAGCGGAGAAAAGGTTTACACCACGGAGAAAAGGTTTACACCGCCGAGAGAAGGTTAACACCGCGGGAAAAAGGCTTTTGATGGTTTTTTTGTTTGTTTTTGGTTTGTTTTTGTTTTGGGGGGGGGGGGATAATTTATCATAGTTTTCATTGCGATTTCTCATATGAGGTAAATTACAAGAAAATATGAAGTAAATTACAAGAAAAGGGTATAAATCAACGTATGGCAATAACAAGCCACCGTAAAAAGCTGATTTGATGTCAAATTATAACAGCAAGACGTTATGGCGTTACCTAGCTACCCACTACTGTAATAAGTTATTTGTGCGTTCACTGTAAATCTAAACAGTCTGTGGAATGTCATATCCAACAAAGAAATGTGTGTTTGGGAGTGGAGGACGACCCATGTTTCGTAGAACTGGAACTCTTCTTGTAAAAACATACAACACAATAAAAGTCAATTTTTTTAGTGAATGGTACTACACAGAGAGATTGGTGTTTCGAGGGATATGATGTTTAAGAATATGATGTAGGGTATGTCAAAGAAAAGAATGGCGTCTAGTCGTTCGGACGTTATGAACAGCCGAGGTACGGGTTAAATCGTCAAAGATCCCTTGGAAGCCACAGTGGCTCAGTGAGTAAGACGTTGGCTCGCTTACCTGGAGGTCCCATGTTTGACCGCTGCGTTGGTCAGGAATTTCCGGCGTGGTACCTCCTTGACAGTGGTACAGGACGGAGGGTTTGGCAATGAACAACGTATAGTCCTTTGGATGGGACGAAAAACGAAGTCTCGTATTGGCGTGCATGTAAAAGACCCCTTGACAGTTGGAATTCGATATAAGAGTAGGACGTAGTGCCACTGCCCGGGCAAAATCTCCTCCATAGTACACTGTATTAGCATAACAGTAGGACGTTAAACCTCATTTCATTTCATGTCGCGTCGCTGTCCGGGCAAATTTGTCCTGATAGCATACTGCATGTCCATTTTTATTATCTCGGTTGGTGCAGAAAAGGGTGAAATACACCATAGTCTAAACAGTTTTATCTAAACTGTTTGAAGTCAACAATGGGGTCAAAATATTGAGAGCTGCACTTTCACAAATATATATATAGCAGTTAGAATGATAGGATCAAACAGAAGTTCTAGCAAAATAAAATTTTCTGTAAAACAAAACTCCAATCCGTGCCATATCTTTATACAAAATGCACGAAAGATTGAATAGTTATCTATGGTTACAGTATTACACGTTGTTAACTTACATTTGAATCATTGGAATATTTTAGAAATAATATTTTATAAATATGCGCACAAAAAATCGCACAGCTTGTTCCATAAAACTTATATCACATGGTAATATTTAAGCTACTTGTTTTCCATAAAAATAGATCTATTCGGTCACCCCACTTAGTTTTATCACTTGTGTAAAAGATTGGATATACGTCATTTGGAATGTGGAATGTTTATGTTACTTCCCTCCATTGATAGAAAATGGGGCTAACTGTGCTCTAAATTGTCCACGGATAAAACACCTTATAAGGCCCTGGTTGTACACTGTACTGTTCATCGATTGGAATATTATCCAACTTGAAATGTATACACCAACTGTCGATTCCAGTGACAAGTCTATAAAATAGCTAATATATTATCACAAAATTATTCACTTTCAACGACCGAATAACGAGTTAGCTAAGTACGGAGAGATAGCATTGTCATTGGAAAGTTATCAAGTTGCATCCGGAAGCCGCTGTGGCTAAGTGGGTGTGGTGATGTCTCGGTGTTGGCCGAGAAAGTTCTTGCTTGTCAATGGTGCAGGGCAAAAACAAAACCCGGTCCACCCGTGTACTCGTTGATGTGCACTTAAAAAAGTCCTTGAATGTTGGAAGTCGATGAAGAATAGGCAGAAACGCTGCTTTCTGGGAAATCTTCTCCCTTCTGTACGTCTTGATTGGTCATTTTCAGTTTTCATCTGCTGCTTTAAGACTATTGTCAGAACATTTATACCTGCATCTGATATAATGAATATTGTCAGACAGTTTGTATTTGCATCTGATATTCATCAGATGTTTTTTTCAGGACGAAAATATCTTTCAAGCAGCAGATTTTTAGTCATACCCAAGAATTGGGCGTGGTCGTGTAGTGGGAACAACGTCGATAATCTTTTACATCCGGTGATTTGTAGAAAAATAGAATTTTGAGTTCCTTACGGAAATATGCACCGGTGATGCTATAGAGAAAAAAGTTGATGCAATAATTGAGATAAAATATTACCCGAGTTATTAGAAGCAATCCTTGCATATTATCAAAGTCATGCGCATGTTTATTCATACTAGCTGAAATTGAAAGTAGAAACTGTTTACACCACACACAGAAGAAAGGTAAATTTAAGGCAATAAAAACAAAGGATATGACAAGTAAAATAATAGTAAATTCTAACTTTATGATGCTTTCTTCAGTGATAATTTTAATAGAACGATGTTTTTTATTTCTCAAGAAAAGTTTTCTCATAATTAAAGTGTTTAACACGGTTATTATAATAAATGGAATAAAAGTTATCATAACAGCAAATATGCTGTCTAATATAAAGACAGGAAAGGATAACTCTGGATCACGCGTGCACATTTTAACTTTAGTGTGGTTTATTTCATATACACCACTTAATAAAGGTTTATACATCATAATACACCCTGAACAAACCACTAACGTACAAATTATCTTTTGGGAAAACCGTTTTCCACAAATATCCTTCCGTCTTAACGGTAAACACACACCGATGTATCTCTCCGCTGTAAAACTTACAATAAACCAAGCAGAGAGAAACCTACTGAGGTATGAGAGATACAAAATCGCCTGACACACAACGTCTGTTTCCAAAAACATCACTTTAAAGTCGGCGTTAAATGCCGGTAATCCTCTTTTTAACCAATCAACGAACACATAAAAAATAAGTGCGAGAATATCTGACGTCGACAGCGCTGCTAGATACGTACTAGCGGATAGCTTACGCATATTCTTGGATAAAAACACACGCAACGACAATATGTTTCCAGTAAGTCCTACCAACAAAATAACAGGCGTGAAGTACGAGTAAAAATACTGGCTATGTGTTAACAACTTAGGTTGCAAGACTTGTGGACAGTGACTAGCATTGAATGTTATGTTGTCATGCAGAACCTTCAAGACATCTCGTACGCCGTCATGAAGACAATCCGCCTCCGTCATGTTAAGGAACTGAAAAATAGAAAATTAGAACCAAATTACAAATAATAACTATTATATTCTGATGTTATGGAATTAAAAATATTCCACGGTGCTGTCGATCAGATTAAATACATGCATGGTGAAATTTGTTATCAGCAAAAATTAAATAGTACTATAGTAGCCCTGAGGCTCGATGATGATAGGGTGTGGTATATAATATTATAGGTATAATCGACACCTATATGCCCATCATTGGTCACCTGATAGTCCCTCTCTCCTCCCAACTAATTCTAAAAATAAATGGGCACACATTTTCCATATTAGTACACAGTGAAGAGTCATCAGAAAGCATTGCGCCACGATGTATGGAGATCGTAACGTTGGTTCGTCATCAGTCTTCATTAGCCCAGGTTAGGAGCAGAACAGTAGGACGTTAAACTCCATTTCACCTCGGGCTAGCGGCTTGGACGGACATCATGCGGGGTCTGTTAGCGACATTAAAGGTAGGCGAAATGCAGTGTTTCAGAAGTTAGGTCTGGATTCAAAGTTCGTGGAGGGGAATACGGTGGCTCAGTGAGTAGGATGTTGGCTCGCTAACCTGAAGGTCCCGTGTTCGATCCCTGCGTTGGCCGAGAAAGTTCATCAGGATTTTCCAGCGCGGCCCCCCATGTCAGTGGTGTAGGACGTGGGGGGGGGGATCTGCCAAGGGACAACGTATAGTCGTTCAGATGGGACGAAAACCGGAGGCCCCGTGTACACTTGGTATGCATGTAAAAGGACTCTCCATAATTGGAATTCGAAATAAGAGTAGGCCTTAGCGCCGTTGTCCGGACAATTTTCCCGGACGTTAAACACCGTTTCATTTCATTTCATATATAAGGTTCGTGAAACCCAGACTATAAAAGACATCTTTATATAGCATAGCTATATTTGTAGTTTCTTGTATTACTGTTATATCAACAAGGATTTAGAACAGTGTGGTTTTCCAGTTTCATTATTTAAAAAGGAAAACAGTGTAAAGTCCATAGTGCAGTCATCATATTGAAATCCATAGGAAGTTCAAGGCAGAAAAAATAGGATAGCAAGTTAGTGTCACACTAATTTTATACAAGCCGATGACACAGGATAGTGTCAGTTTAGTGCTGTGACGCAGGATAGAGTGAACCAGGGTGTACGCGGAACATCGGGTTTTCGTCTCATTTGAACGACTAACTAATGTTAACTACCTTACTGAAGGGAGCCATGGTGGTTCTGTGAGCATGGCGAACTAACCATGAGTTTACAGGTTCGAGATTTTCCAGCCTGCTTTCTAGTTGTCAGAGGTGCAGGACGAAGGGCTTGGCAGAAGGGGTGTGCAGTCGTTCGAATAGGACGGATGTTCAGTTAGTATGGCAGTTCAGGTTTATCCTCTTTAAAAATTAAATCTCACTATTAAAATCCGATCTAATTTCGACATCGATGGGTAGATAATGTTTCACAGGTGTGTGAAATTCTCTGGATATTCCGTTATGAAAAAAAGCCTTAAAGAACACCGTTCGTTTTAATTATCATGAATTGAAAATGTGTGGAATAATGAAGCCAAATGTTGTGTCAATCAATTGTAAGTCTTTGGGTTAAAGCGGAAAGATGTGAATATAATAAGTTAAAACAAGCATACTTGTAAAAGGCGTACTATAATTAGGCCACCGGGGACAGCTATTCTTCTGTGAGTGTGGCACTTTAGGGGGAGAGAAACATAACTTATATTTTTTCTGGCAATGTCCCTTTATTGTAATTCCCAGTTTTAATGCTACTTTTGATATATTTTGAAACGATAATATTAGACTTTATGATGCAGAAAATTATTTTGTGTTTCTACGTTGTTAGGCAACACATTTCACGAAATAAGAAACCAGCGGCTGCCAGGCAGGATACGCCCACATTTTGCAAGAGATGGATAGAGAACATGCTAAAAATAACCAGTGGCTATAATCCAGTAAGTTATAGTCTGAAATGCGCAAATGTCAAAAGAGACTCAGATTTTTGGAATATAAAGATATATTTTAAGTTTCATCAAAATATTTGTTTTACAGTTCCAAAGTATTAAATAATTCCAATATTAATGGAGAAATTAATATTGGTAGGTCCAAACGAATGCTGTTAATCTAGCCACCCCGTAGATCAGGTAAACAGAACGATAACATAACAAAAACCAGGGATTATTTGTTAATTAATCTTTGTTTTTTTAAATGCAAACCCTGATCATTGTTTTCACACGTAACAAACCATTTTTAAACTCAGATATAAACGAAACAACATCTCCGTTAATTTTTAAGTAGACTAACGTTACTCCAATTATAAAAAAAGTACTATAGTACAGAAACTGCTTTAGTTCGGGTACATAATGACATATGCCATCCATGTAAAACTATTGTCGTTGCGACAATGTTTTCAAATTTATAGACAAGGAATAGAGAAAACTGATGGCATTATATTGTATTAATTAATATCTTTGGCAAGTTATTAGATTCACACATATGTAGTACTATAGTACAGAAACTGCTTTAGTTCGGGTACATAATGACATATGCTATCCATGTAAAACTATTGTCGTTGCGACATTGTTTTCAAATTTATAGACAAGGAATAGAGAAAACTGATGGCATTATATTGTATTAATTAATATCTTTGGCAAGTTATTAGATTCACACATATGTAGTATGTACTTAAATCAACTTAGTGAATGGATGACATATTGTTATATAAAAAAGAGTCATAATGTGCTAAACATTCAATTCTAGGTTGATAACATATATCTTGTGGGAAGTTTCTTCGGTATATTTCCATTTTCCATATAAGGGTGGGTTTCGACGTCATTAGCCTAAATTGACCAATCTCTTTGATTATTTACATCATATTTGACCAATTGGATAATTGAACGTTAAAATCCAAAGCTACAAAACTATCATATTTGTGAGCAATCGCCAGACAGCAGATTGATTCCAGAAGATAAAAGAGGTAGCAATTGATATCAGCAGACTCACCCCAGCGAGTTTGACTGGCTAGTGTTTGAGAATGACTTTATTCTATTATGTATTGTACCATATGTATCCGGCTATGATATATAAATGTAAAAACGAACTGTTGCGTTGTTATAACTACTGATAAGACAAACGTCTTAACTAAGAAAACAGTAAGAAGAAAATACACAACGTGAAGGGATAGCAAAGACAGCTAGAGACAAATTCTAGACCATCACAAGGCTACTAAGATATGTAGTAAGAAAAGATGCATGGGTCATACGCAGGATGTGGCGACCGGAATCAATGGCCCGCTCTCCACGTCTGACAGAAGACCCATGGTACTACATCCATCGACTCTCAGAAATCCTTATACTGTTTGACACTGTCGATCACAGCATTCTCTTAAAACGGCTGTCTTCACGTTTTGGCATTGTAGATATATTGCTCTTGAACTGCTTAGGTCTTACTTAATAAGGCGTCAGTAGCGGGTTTCAGTCAATGGTCGCTCGTCCGAAGTAAATACTCTTGAGCATGGAGTTCCGCAAGGGTCAGTTATAGGACCCATACTGTTTAGTTTGTACACTTCCCGTCAGGGCGATTTAGTAAGGAAACGTGATGTGGAATTTTATCTTTACGCTGATGACACACAGCTATATTTATCGTTTAAACCATCAACTGGTGCAGCTGTTACCAGGCCCAGGTCATTTATGTATAGGTAAAATTCATATATGGATGTCCACTAACTTTTTGAAACTGAGTATTTGCTTTTGGGATCCGATAATCTGCTATCAAAACTTAATGATTTGTTTAATAAGGAAATTACAATTGCTGAATATAATGTATATCACCCTCTGTAGTATTTGATGGAGAAACAAATCAAAAATATTTGTAAATCATGTTATTTCCATATCATAAACATAAGTCGTAAACGTAAAGTTATTTCCCAGGAAGTTACGAATGTTAATTCATTCGGTGGTCACTTCTAGAGTTGATAACTGTAACGCTCTTTTAATTTGACTTCCGAGCATATTGATAGATAAACTTCAAAACATGTAGAACTAGTTCTAAAGACCACATTTACACTGGCCCCCCCTATTCGTTTTAGAATCCGTTTTAAAATACTTTTTTTTTAAATTTTAAAATGGCTGAATCACATGGCACCATCTTATTTGAGCAACCTATTATTAGAATTATATACTCCTATTCGTACTTGTAACCTGTTCGACTTGTGAGCTATGGTGAACGATCTTTTGTAGCTGACCCCCGAGTCTATTTTTAAAACACGTCTCAAAACGCATCTTTTTATCGAACGATTTCAATAATTTTATTTTATAAACACCAGTATAAATGATTATTCTTTATCGTTTTAATAATTTATCTTACTCTTGTCTTAATAATTACGAGTTTGCAGCCCAAAATTGTCCATTGTGCAAACATTCTGCCAACCTAGATGTGGTTGGCCTCCGTGGATCTATTTATTAAATATAAATTGACAAACATGAAGTGTTTTACGGATGGGACAAAAAATAATCTCAGATTGCCCATATCTCGGTTATTTCTCTTTTGGATTCTTTGGACGAATCCCATAGGGGATCAGACTGACGGTTTTTCGAAATTATGTGACGGCTCCCGGAAAACTTCCGGAAATTACCAAAGCTTTTCGATTTTTCCCGAACATGAATGGTTCTCTCCAAAAATGACATATGGTGATGTAAGCCCCAGATATTATCTTTCATTTCCAGAGACCGTGTTTGATAACATTTTGAACCGTTTGGCCGCCATATTGGATTTTACAAAAAATCTTCAAATCGATATTCAGCCACCATTTACAAAATTTAATATGTAAGTAGGTCAACTCCCAAAACATAACTTTTTTTACCTTAAAATTATGAGCTTATGTCTAGGTATACTTTGGTTCGCAATGAGAAACAGTGGCTAACGTTTCGTTCGTGGGGGGGGAGGAAGGGTGGATGGCCAAATGGTTAGCACGTGCGCGCTGCGCTGTATCATACGCTCTGTCATTGAGTC